CCATAGAACATGCTTTACTAAGTGTCCAGAAATTTACATTATCCCTCACATGTTATCTGATTATAGGGCAATGAAATTGGAAATTAATGAGAAAAGGAGCTACAAAAACTCCACAAACACATGGAGATTAAATAACACACAACTGAACAACCAATTGGTCACAGATGAAATTAAAGGAGAAATTAAACAATATCTACAAACAAATGAAAAGCTAAATACAACTTACAAGAATATGTAGGATGCATGGAAAGCAGTCCTCAGAGACAAGTTTATAGTGGTGAACTCACACATCAAGAAAATAGAATGATAACAAATAAGTAGCCTGATGCTGCACTTCAAACTTTTAGAAAAAGAAGAAAAACTCAAACACAAAGCCAAAAGAAAGGAGGAAATTACAAAGACCAGGGCAGAAATTAACACAATTGAGACAAAGTAAACACTAGAGACAATTAATGAATCAAAGAGTTGGTTCTTTGAAAGAATAAATAAAAGTGATAAACCCCTAGCCAACCTTATCAAAAAACCAAACTAAAAACTCAAATTCATGCAATAAGGAATTAAAGAGATGAAATCACTACAGATTTTATAGGAATTCAGAAGATCATCAATACCTACCATGAAAATCTTACTCCCATAGGATGGAAAACACAGAAGAAATGGACAGATTCCCAGATAAACATGAATTACCATAGCTGAATCAAGAAGATATAAAAACCACGAATGAACCAACATCAATGAATGAAATTCAAAACCTGATTTAAAACCTACCACCAAAGAAATACCCAGGTCATGATGGATTTGCAGCTGAATTCTCCAAGAAATTCAGACAAGATTTGATGCCAACATTCCTCAAACTCTTTAATGAAATTGAAAAGGAAGCAATTCTCCCTAACTCATTTCTCGAAGCAAATATTACACCGAAACCAAAACCAAAGAAAGACCCAACAAAGAAACAGAACTACAGGCCACCATTCCTAATGAACACAGATGCAAGAGTCCTCAACAAAATCCTAGCAAACAGAATTCAGCAAACCATCAACAAGATTATACATTATGACCAAGTGGGATTCACCCCAGGAATACAGGGATGTTTCAATATACATGAACCAATCAATGTAATATGCCCTATCAACACAGTCAAAGACAAAAAATACAAGATCATGTCAATAGATGCAGAGCTTGTGATAAAGTCCAACACTCATTCATGATAAACACCATATAGAAAATAGGAATAGATGGTCTTTACCTCAATCTGATCAAAGCCATCTAGGACAAAACAATACTAAACATCACACAAAATGGACAAAAGCTGAAAGCTTTCATTTTTTTTTTAATTTTAGAGATAAAAGGAGGAAAATACTAACAGA